GATTCAGAAAAACTGTATAAACTGAGCGGAAAGAAGCAGCAAACAGCTAGACTCTACATTGCCATATTATATTCAATTCTACCAAAATTATCACTATGGAATTAATTACCGAATAATAATTCAGTCGATTGAATCGATAAAATCATCATTAACGACAAGCCAATGTAAAATACAGACTGGACAGTCGACACAAACCATCTGCTCGTTAAAACAAAATGTGCAAAGCAGAAAGGATATAGAGGTCAATAAAAGGAAAACAGTGATTTTAGTTATGTAATTACAACTAGAAAATGTGTTATTCTATATATCGGCTGTGACCAAAACTTACATTTGTTTAATTCTACTGCAGACACTATGTGCTGTCTGCTGATTTTGTCTTGGGACTAAATGAAGCGACTCACAAGAAGATATCACATAAAAAAGGTTTTATATTCGCAGTGGTGTGCTCTCATTATTATTTATTTGCCACATAGAAATGAGAGACGAGTTACAAATTACTTTCTTTTTCGACACTGACTTATCTGTTGGGACATTTGAAGGGCGAATTTTTGCAAAATTACACTTAAATTCACCCTTAATCCGATTTAAGAATAACTAATGTCACATAGTCACATATTTTGATCGATGATCCCTTTCATCAAATATTCACCAATTTCTAGTATATTAGCATGTGACTAAAATACCACTATTTGACATTTATATATATATATATTGCTAATAATAAAATATTAGGCCATACCTCAATAATTTGACAACAGAAAATGTATAATCACTGCAGTTTAAATATTGAAAGCTACAGAATAGCCCAAGACTGAAACTTTCTGGCTGAACATTCAAATACAACTTGACAATACCCGCCGGGGACATCACCCAAGTTCGAATTCAATCAAAGATTTCAATCTGCACCAAAACTGAAAACAATATTCATGTTGAAATTGCGTAAACCTGTCACAAGTTGAACATATTCGAAACAAGTCAAGTTACACTTGAATACCGATGTTTTAGAGTGGGCATGATAACCAGTTCTGCTTTTATTTCTTCATGGTGGTCCAACAAAAAAAGCTACTCAAGTTTTCATCTGCTTTTTTTTAAATATACACACTTCTGTGTCTTGCCTTTGGGCAAACGTGTTAGCTACGAGACAGATTATCAGACATTTTATGCTATCAAAAATTCCATATATAATGTTGGAGATAAATCAAATAACTTACATGATATGAAAACAGAAAACATTTAAAAACGAACCAACTGATAGACACAGTCGCTACATTTGAATTGAAATTTATTTACTGACGCTTATACCCTGA